TGTACGTTTTTCTTTTTTGAACCTCTCATGTGTTAGAGGAAAAGTCAAAAGACGATTCGATAGAAAATTCAACCCAGCACGTTTGTGCTGTACACAGTGATGTGAACTGTCAGGAATATACCTGTACGTGCTTGTTTCTTTTCTAAATATATCTTATTCTAACCCTCCATATTGGCTCCTCCTCATCAAAACGTCAAGAAATGGTAGTTGTCCCTTATTTTCTAATTCATACGTGAATTTTATTGATGGACATCTATTATTCAAAAAGAAACAAAGTCCTCAATATTCGATTTTTTGGTATCGAATATCGTGAAAATATCGTCTACTTACCTTAGCCAAATCCTAGGAAAATACTTAGATTTTTCTTTGGTTTACATTTCAAATCTGCTCATGAACAGGTATGCCAAGTAGGGGGACAGGGAGTTTCCCATGGCCGTTCCTTCCTGTTGTTCATAAAAGTAACCTTCTACCTGGAACCGATTTTGTTTCATACACAAATTAGTAAGATAAACGAATTCATCGATTTCGTTATTATTGAAATTGTTTTTCTCTAGTAATTCCCTTAGGTATTGCAAGGTCTGTGGAATTGGGACGCTAGGAAATAAGGAACTAACTGAAGATTATTGCGAAAACACCATTGCTCACCACGTTTCAGATTGAGGGAGAGTTGAAGACAGTCCAAATGAGGCAGTAACACCAGAAAACATGAAAGAATCCACAAAATCGTTTTAAATGACCGAAAAGTGAGTTTGCATGAGTTGGCTGATACTGTAAAGGTATCCAAAGAATGTGTTGGCTTTATATTTCATGAGCAATTGAATATGAGAAAGCTCTGTTCAAAGCAGGTGCCGCGCCAGCTCACAGTTGACCAGAAACAAGAACGTCTTAATGATTCTGAGCAATGTTTGGTCATGTTTAAATATAACAAATCGGAATCTTTGCGTTGATATGTGGAATAAAAACCACCAGAGTAACTGATGAACCTCGTCCAAAGCTTCAGTGTCACACCTCAATCAAAACAATGGCAAAACTACATGAACTGAACTTCAACTTGCTCCCACATCCACCGTATTCGCCAGACTTGGCTCCCAGCCACTACTAGCTGAGCACATAACTCAAAAAAAAAATGCCCACCGGTAAAAAAATTCGCTTGAATGAAGAGTTTATTACTGAAACGGAGGCTTATTTTGAAGCGAAAGATAAATCGTTCTACAAAAGCGGTATTGAAATTTTAGAGCGACGCTGGAATGTTTCTGTGGCTCTTGATGGAGATTACGTTGATAAATAAAGCCCACTTTGAACGCGTTTCCATTCTTATGCCGGGGATGTTTACTTGGAAAATATCCCGTTTCAAAAATTAATTCCATTCGAAGTTGAGGCACCATTTGAAAATGAAAAGTCATAAATTAGTTATCTCTCTTTCTTCAGAAATATCTTTCATAAGTAAATAGGATGTACAGCAGTGGATACTCCAAGGCAATCATTAAATTATTAATGATGTGAAATTATTAAACAATTCCGGACCCACAATAAAGCTAAATAACACGACGGAAAGCCTTCATTAGGTCGATCCGACCAAATTAATTGCTGTCAGATATTATTCAGATGTAGTCTGTAACTACCAATTACACAGTCGTGGAAGCCGTTTCCGATGCCTCGACTCCACGCCACTACCTTAATCTTCTCCTGGCCAACTAGGTAGAAAGCTTGTCATTGGAATAAATTCTAGATGGGTACTACCACAGTACGCAATCATTGAATACTTATACTGAAATCGTGCTAAACAAAATTACATGGTGTTATTTAATGTATGGTGGTACCGCTCTTTATTTATGTTTAAAAAGCTCGCTACTGAAATGAATTATTGTTTAAGTTTTGATTAAGTATGCTTAGTGAAGTCAATTTCAACTCGACTTTTTCCTACACCATCTTAATTTTCTTCTCCAATATAATTATATATTTTTACTCTCTGGTTCTGATTTGGTTTTACTTCAATTATATTTCTTCAATTATATATAGTTTTTTGATTTCAAGTGTTTCAATGAAATTATTCTGAAAAAGTCGAAGTTCTGCTACGCCAGATTCTCGTTTCGCCAAAATCCGGCGATATTCATTTTATTTTCATGCATACTCTCTTTCGCATAATCTATAAACACTATGGAATTAGTAACAATGGATCTACAGGGTGAAAAACCATTTGCTTTTTGTTACATCTCCTTCTTGAATACAACTTCTCATGGAGACCTTCTCAAAGAGTCTGGAATATTTTCACACCAATTCTAATTGGCGCTTTGTAGGCAGCATTAATTTTGTATCAGAGTATACGTAGATCTGTATTATGATGGGGGTGAAGTAAGTGTGAAAATCTCCATTATTCATCAATTCAGGTTTATTCTAGAGCAATGATNACATAAACCAATTTACTCTAATATCAAAGTGATTAACAAAAAACGATTCACGTTTGTACCATCGTTATAAAAAAGTTAATTGCCGCATTATGAATTACGATTAATATATCTCAACAATAAGTTCAGTTTTATTGTCGAATAATTCCACCTCTCGAGGTAAATAATGTTTTCCGTTATCAGAGTATTAGGTGGGATTTTATCTCTTTTTCGTGTTCAGTCATACACTCGTGGAAAGTTATTCTGAGAAATAATAAATACGGCGGAATACAATAGGTTCTGGGTAACTTCAGACAAGTATCGAGTGTGCATATTTCACGAATTTAATACGTTTCCGTTTCAAAACTTATTACAAGTTTTCAAACGTTGGTACAGTAATTTCAGATCTTTATTATTTTTCCGCGTCAACGGAGAAATATTTATTGTTGGCTTCAAATTGATTGCAAGAAGACAAGTTCTGTGAAGCTGATGATTTGAAACACGATATTCTAAGTACAAGTACATACGAATGTTCGTCATAAATTCATCAAATATTGGTCAAATTATTTGTATTTGGGAATGAGTTTCAAACAATATTTCTTTTCGGAAACGATTCATATTTTTTTCATCTTTCTCAAAAAAAGTATTCGATGTGAGTTTTACAAACAGTAATCGAAATTTTTTTTATAGTTTTTCGAAATTTCCACCTTTCACTTTCGCCAATTCTCGGAACAGTTTTTCCAGCTGGAGTTGATGTCTTGAAAATGTGATTTTAGGAGGCTCCAACAGCTAGCAGGTTGATTCAAAAGTTTTGTCAGTTTTCAAGAATCTACTTCGAACTGGAATATCTCAGTGAATACACAAATTCAATTGAAATAAGCGCCATTTCAATCAGTGCACTTTCGCCAACGTAAAACGTGTCGATTGTTTCTGCCAGCATGAAAATTGTGTGATGGGGATTCGATAAAGTCGACGAAGGCCGTTTTTGCCTGGTCCTGATTGGCGAAGGTTCTACCAGTGAGAAAGTTATTGTAATGAAGCAGAATCGTACCTCTGTTGTTGACCAGTGATGCACCAGTATTTTGCAGACATTTTGACCTGTCATACAAGGAAGGGTTTCAACCTTCTTTTTCCTTTTTTTTTTGAACTGATGGAACTTTACCTTGTTGCAAGATTGCTCGCGTTCAGCCTATTTCCAGAAAAAGCAAGAAAAATCTCCCAAGTTGCTTTGTTATCATTGAAATAAAAAATCATGAGGAAAGACGTAAATAATCACCATATCCTCCAATTCTCTACAACCCTCTTTTTCTTGTATAGTTCATTTCTTTAATGTCACCCCCCCTTTTATTTTTTGAACTGGTCAACTAAAAAAATTGAAATTTGGGATAATGAAATTAATTTATTTATTTGTAATACAATACTCTACAGGACATAGCCTAATTNAACGTCATTTCGACATTCTCAAGCGTAGCAAATTTTTTTTATTTTGAAGGAAATAATTCAAGGATAACGAAAAATATATGATATGACGATTTCCGCAAGCCGAAATAACAAAAATTCGTCGATGAAGTTTAATGCGTGCAGCTGTATGATACCTATATTTCCCTCTCCGAGTTTCTATTCCTCTTTCACTTTTTCTCTATCTATTACTATCTCACTCCGTCCCCACTCTGAATTGTGTTGCCATGACGCCATCACAGCTAATCACAGAGACTCGTTCATGATGAAGATGAAGATGATGCTCAATTAATAATAAAAAATTTAATTTTTTTGATCATTTTTTAAAAATAATTTTCTTATAAATACAAGTATTCTACTTAAAAAAACATACACTCATTTATTTGCATGCTATTTCCTGTGCTTTTCAATCAATGAATCAAAATAGTTTTCTAAAAAATATTTTTTTGTCAGATTAAGCGAATCCCTCTACATATTCGTCAGATTATGACACAGCACGTCTAAAACATAAAGATGAACCATGTATATCTTAATCTGACGCGCTTGACTATTTCAAAATGGCGAATTTTTTTGCACATTATGATAATGGCCGCGAGTTTGCGTCAGATCGAAATCGTCAGATTAATGAATGAGAGCTTTTTTTTTGTTGCACTTAATTCCCCCTTAGAAAATGTAACGCGCTCGATTATTTTTTTTCTTTTCACTCCTAACCCTCACGTACAACCACCCACATCATGCAAACGATCAGATTAACGTACCAACATCATGAAAAATACGTAGGACATTGATACTATCAATATCTGACGCGCTCAAGTATGTCCATGCAACAGTATCTTTTTACATATTTAAAAATCTATAGCCGCTTCCCCCACCGATAAAAAGGTGTATATTATATAACATTTTTTTCTTCTCATCATCTAAGCTTTGCAACCTAATATGTCTCAATGACGCTCAAGTCAATCCCCATTTTGCATCGTGGGTTCCCTTGCTACTAATCGTTATAGATGAATAGAAGATTGGACTTTACAAACTGGTGTACACCAAAATTTTCCCCGAATCATTAGTAACATTCTTTACTCTGTGTCGCTATTATTTTAGTCACGTCAACATTTCGTTCAAAATTTCACACATATTCATACATATTTTTCTTTGTTACAGTCTATTCACATCTGGAGCACACTATGGGGCCCATTCTCCAGGAGAAGCGAAATCTGGATATCCTTACTTTGGTGCAATGGAAATGTGTTCAAGTAGAGTCCACTGAACATCGGATGCCTAAGATGTGGTGTGAAATATGCTTTAAGTTCTTATGATGTACTGTTTGGAACCTTTGATGTAGTAATGAATATTACTGGAGTTTTTTCCCAACACCATATCGTTATTTTTACACCCCGACACGTGTTTCGATCACCAAGTGATCATCTTCAAGAGGAAGATAAATCGAAACACGTGTCGAAACACGTGTCGAGGTGTAAAAATAACGATTTGGTGTTGGGAAAACACTCCAGTAATATTTATGCTTCAAGTTGTTCAATTCGATTAACAATTAACCTAAACGCAATAAATATATTTGTCAATAATTCACTGATGATGTTGATGATGTATAGACTGACACATTTGAAGAATTGTAGGTTATTGGATTGCATATAAACTGATTTGAATGTAATTGTAGTTTAATGGCCGATATTATACTGTCAAAAGTACTTAGAAGTCTAGTTGTACATATTAATTTATTCGATTTCTTTCAAATAAGGATGGTGTAACTGTTGTAAATATATTTCTCTGAAAATTTGTATGACTTTTATTGGAGTTTCTGAAAAAATGTGGGATTGAAAAATATCATGAATTTTTGGTTCCTGAAGAATTTTTTGTTCAACCCCTCCTTCAATGAATCAAATTATTGGCTAATTACTACTCAAAGAAAGTGTTTAGATGGATTAATTGATAACGACTAACAAGATCCATAAATGAAGTATTGAAATTCGAGTGGATATAATATAATAATATACTTATCTTTGATATCCATCGTGATTATTATAATATATACAGTTATGTTGATGTTACAAAAGTTAGAAGAGGTGATATACTGAAAATATTTTAATTCCGTTTGAACATTGTGAAACCAAGCTCTGCTTTGTGAGGAATCAATTACAAGGATATTTTTTTGTTTTTGAAGCTAGAACGAAAATTTTCAGGTAATGTATCTTTTTTGTTCATGATATCTGTACCAGTAAAACAGATAAGGTTTAAAATATATTGCATATAAAAATCAACTCACATTGAATAATACTTTTTCCAAATCAAAACACAAAGATCCAATTTTTTTAGACAATTCAAATGTAATCTACTACATACCTTGCGCACAATATGATGAAAGGTATATCGGCCGAACCAAAAGGAAATTGAAAGACAGTATTTGTTCTCATAAAAACGATATTATGAATTCAAAAAAACCTGTGCTGTAGGTCAACGTACGATTGAACTAGACCACAGACCTGATTATGATAATGTGACTATCTTAGAACATGAATCCAATTCAAAAAAGAGATTTTTTTTTGAAATGACAAAGATTTTTAACGAACTGAATTCAATCAATTATAAAACTGCCATAAATCATCTTAGCACAATTCACTCATATTAACTAAGTCGCCTTCTTAAAGCTAGAACGAAAACTTTCAGGTAATGTCTCTTTTTTGTTCATGATATCTGTACCAGTAAAACAGATAAGATATAAAATAGGGACTTCTAACAACTGATATAAAATGAATAGATAAGTACTTTTTGATCACCCTCATATTGATTTCAATTTAAGAGCCACTGGTTATGTTTCGCTTGCGTTTACGCAGCTATTTTTGCCCAATAGGCCCAATAGGCTGAAACAGCTGTCTAACGGTGGCTCTTAAATTGAAATCAATATGGATATATTAAGTTCTACAAGAAGCATTTGAAGCTTTATATCTTCTATTAATTATCTGCGAGCGCTTTCGACAGTTGGTAGTACTGTCACCTTCTAGGCACCCTCAAACTGAACTGGTCATCCTGTAGTCTGCCTCTTTATACGGTCAGAGCGTCTTAACTCAGGTATTTCAGGTACTTTAGGTAAATTTGCCTGTATTTGTTCTGCATCAGGTACTCTTCTTTGTGTTAGATCT